TTATATTACGCAAGCTCTACCTCAACTACAATTAAACAAGCGTCTATCTATTTTAAGATATAGCACTTCAAATATCCCATTGTTCCATCTGTCTAATTTGCTGTGTGAAAGGGTGTTTGCAGTAAAATATTTGTAATTTTAAAATCACGAAAAAGATATAAGATCATAAGTAGTATGAATATTCAGCTTAATATAGAAAGGCTACATGATATAGCCATACCTATTGTGCATTTGTTATTCTTTTTGAGAAAAAATTAATATTTTGTTTATGAACTGTTAGGTAGGAAACAATATTTTCCCAGAAAATTATATCGTTGGAGTATAAAATACAATATTATCCGGATCGGTGGTTTCAATCGCTTGAATCGACAGTTGAGATATCATGATATACACTGTTGAATCGAAACTAATACTTTTGTATTAATTATAAAGGCACCTATTTGAAATTTAGCGTATATCAAGCATATATATATTTAGTATATCTATATCATATTTTGGTATTTCTGATTATTTTTGCATATAAACATACTAATACTAATGTGTCAGGTATGCGCTTTTATGAGAAAAACTTTTGTATTTGATATTATTTTTTATCTATTTTAGTTTAGAGTTTAGTCTAATGAAATGATTCTTAATCATACCTACTTAGGATGTGAAATAAATCAAGGGCAAAAGTTTAAAATTAATAAATTTATTAATTAAAATTGATTAGAAGGGTAAACTCACACATAAAGAGAGTTTATAGTTAATAAAATAGTATTTCTGTGATGTTAAAGTATAGACTTTATAACTGTGATCTCGAAAACCGCAATCGTACAAAGAAATGATAGTCAACGAATCGACTGGTAGAAATCGAGTAAGAGACATTTGGAAGGTCATGCTAATATATAACTAGAAGAAAGATGGTAGACGGTAAAAAAAGTAAAAGATAGGTCATATAGCTCACATAAATAACTATATACATATGACAAAATAATGGGTGCAATCGCAGAGGACTTTACGCTAAATAAGCCGGATTTTTCTATTAAAGCAGAGTTGTTTGCGTACCTTATGCGACAGGCGTGTATGAAATCGGGTAGGATTTGTTATTTATAACAAGGACGCTCAGTCTATTATATGTGTGGAGAAAGTAAGTCGGATAGTAATTTATTTATAAAAATGATTACAAACAAATGGTATGGATATTTTTTAACATCCACGACATTACAAAACTTAGGATCTGTATATGTACATAATATATAAAATAAGTAAATCTTACGGTTTTTACTTATTATTTAAAAGACAATAAAATAAAAATTCTCATTTTTTTTTAGTTAGATATTTAAAGAATTTTATTGTTTTGTAAAAATGTTTTAAAATATTAAAGTGAATTTAAATTTAACCATATAAGCAACAAGTATTTTGTTTGAATACAATATTTAAATATGTCCCCAAATTTCCCAAAACAATATAATTTCCTTAGTATCTACAACTAATCGACAAAACGTCAAAATAAAGACAGCGAAAAACGTCAAAAAGGCGCTAAGACATACCGACAGAAAAAGAGTCAATAAATTGTATAATATAAATTTCCAGATAGCTACAGAATGGTATATAACTGCCTTATTAACTATATAAGACAGATTATGGTTGTAAGTTTTATCAAAATAATTTTCCTAAAGCATTATATTAAAAATTACTGAAATATTTCATTGAATTTTTCTTAATAAAAGATAATCAAAACCAAAAGAATAAGCAAACTAAATATGTAGTAAAAATTTTTATAATAATTTATGAATAATAAGTTGTTGAAATAACCTGTGAATTTCGTTCCAAAAACACATACGTATAAAATATGACCGACGACGGGTGCGATGTGCCGTACGACTCACACAGCAAAAGCGGCCCGACGGACATAGAAAAACGACGACAACGAAGTTGAAGTGAAAAACATTTTGGTTTGAAGAATATTTATTAAAAATTATTAAAAAATTTGATATATGTAAGTGATAAAGGTCCCAACTGGAAAAGATATAATGGTAAGTTAATAAATTGTTTATTAATTAAATTAGAATTTTAAAATATACAACTATTTGTTTTCTCGAGTAAAGAAGCAATTCTTTGTATAGAGACGAAGTATTGTAGAAAATTGACAGCAAGTGTCGTGCCTAGCGGAGCACCCGACAATCCGACTGTCAAGTAGAAGTAAAAATAAAATTTATTAACTACACCGCTTAACTAAATTTTGTAAATAAATAATAATAGAATATATAGAAATTTTTGTTGCAAATAATAATGACTTAAAAATTTGATATTCATTTAATATATTATGACGTAAATATTTCCGCCACTAGTGAAACTACAATAAAAACTTTTATTTTGTTTTTAATAGGATATACCTTAGTACACATTAAATATTATAAAGTTATTTTGTAAACTCATTTACATTTACTTATATCGTAAGCAAATTTTATTATAGTTTTTTTTTTCTTTAAATAAATATTGTTGTGTGAAGTATCCATATCTCGCCTTTTCGTTTTTTAATTTAAGGTTTTCAATATTTTATTCAAGGATCGTGTGACCAAGCCCCAGAAGAAAATGTTAATAACTCTTTTGCGTGAGACCAAATATATGGAAGGCAAAAAAGAGAAGGAATGGTATTGGGAAAAGATACAATCTGCTTTAAACACCATTGGCCCCAAAAAAACAATAATTCAATGGAAAAAGGTATTGTTAGAATCATTTAAAGAATTATATAAAAAACAAATTATATTATAATAAAAAAATTGTTTATGGTGAAGAAATGAGATGTAATATTAATTAAATTATATGTAATCTTATATAAACTAAGATTTCGATATTGTTCAAATTTTATGTCAAATGAGTCGATGACATTTAGTGGAAGAACTTTAAATGTTTGTCTGAATGACTAAAATCGAATGATTATATTTTAAAAAGTTCATATATATAAACTGAATTATTTAAACTGATTGCTATAGATTATATAAATCTAATATGATGAGCGCCGTTCGATTTAGTATTAATTTAGATATAGTTATCAAAGAAACTAATAGTTTCATTATATTATTTAAATAAAAATAATATTATATATTTAAATTTTTGATCACATTTGAGTGTTGTTGTTGGGTGTTTTTGGGTCCCTAATGAAAGGGTTAAGCGGAACCTTTTTATCTGATGATAAAAATGACGAGTGAATATTAAATATTTGAATATATATTTCATATTGTCATAAGAAATTAAATCATTTGGCTATATACGTTATATAGACTGCGCAACTCAGTTTTTAAGTTATAAGTAAAATAGTAAGCTATTAGTCGTAAGTTTTGGAAACCATAAGGCTATATGCTCAGGAATTCATATATATAATGTATTATTACTGTACATATTGGGTTATCGCTTTTATTATAATAACAATTAATTAATTTTTTTTTACATAATTATGGTTGACACTCACATGGAACTTAATAAGGCATATACTTATCTGTAACGTATTAGATTTTTGTACTAACACTAATCGTTATTTCATTGTTATTGTCAAATTTATTTAATATGTTTTATGCTTATATTGTGATAATAAAAAACTTCTTACCAGTAAGCTTATAAATAAAAAATATTAATTATGTTATACCCTAATGTACTCATTTTCGAAAGAGTTTAAGAAAAAATGTGTTAACAGTATCTCTGAAATAGTTTATAATATTTTCTATATTTGAATTACTATTTTTTATACATAATAATTTTAAATGCCTTTTTTTTTGAATCTAGTGTTGGAGAGATATGCGTTTAACAACGCGAAAAAAACTTGCCGAGCTAAAGCGTTGCCAACTTGCAGGTGGTTCACCCCCTCCTGGTATCGAATTGAATCAAGAAGATAACGATATTATTGATATTGTTGGAACAGAATATTTTTACGAAGAAATGAATGGTGAACTAAAACCAGAAACATTTATGTCTAATTTTGATTATGTGCCAGAACATTTTTGTGATGCTATCTTGACAGCAGCTGCAAATGGCCAACATCAGCATATGCAACATCCTAAAGAACAACAACATGCTGCACAACAGCAACAAGATCATCATACCAATGATGGCGAGACCAATGACGCAGCGGGTTCATCAAATCACACGGATACACATGGAAACTCTTTTCAAAATTCCGGCTTGGGTCAATTGCAAACTCATAATGGTGATCACAATACTGGTGCAGGCACATCACAACAACATAGTAATTTGCCTCAACATCCTGCATTTCATGGTGGCCTTCATCCACATTTATTGCGCCGACAACAACATACCACTACCCCTATTCAACGTGAAACAGTGTTTGAAGAGAAATTATTACAGCTTATACAGGAAGCATTTCCAAAAAAATCTAAAAAACGAAAAAGCCGTGATCCTGATAAATTATTTTTGCTTTCATTATATGATGAATTTAAACGTGTTCCGGAGGAAATACGTCTTGATGTGAAAGCCGAACTCATACAGGTGTTGAAGAAATATCAAAAAAAGATGCCAATTAAACAAGAAAAAACTAATTCACAATCGTCAACTTCTACCAGTGTTAAACAATCTCCAACGCCAACCAGTGATAAGATACAGTTGCCCCATAATTCACAGTTATCGCATGGAATGTATCAATTGCAAAAGAAATATGACAAAAATGAAAAAGAACAATCACCACAATCACAAATTGAACGTGTACAACATGGTCGTGATGCTGCCGGTGCTACGACAACTGTAGCTATACATCCTTCTCAACAAATACCACATTCACTTTTCCAGTTACAAAAAAAATATGAAGAAAATAATGAAAAAGTTCATCAACAAAGTGACCAACGCAAGCATGTTGAGGCAACACATCAGCAACATACCGCTCATCAACAACCGCCTCCTCCACCTTCCAATGAGCAACATTTGCACCACACACAAATGCCTCATGGAATTATGTTTCCATTGACGCAGATTCGTAACGAACAATCTGCAACACAACAACATCATTCACACAATCCACATCAGCAACCACAACAACATCCACATCAACAAACACAACATCACGCTCCACAAATTTTTGGTACATCAACTGCACCAACTTCAATGAGTACAGATCGGCCGTCAATGGCCTATGAAAATGTCGGATGAATGTTGAGTCGCTTATGGGAGGCCGCGTGGGAGGCACGCTTTCCAACAACTTTATTGCAGGAAGGTGGCAATTGTTAGTTATAAGCATAATATTAATAATATAAACAAAAAATTATTATTATTAACATGATCATTTGTTAACATTTGATAAATTTATAATACATTTTTTTATTATTTTGTGTAAAATAATTACATTTTAAAATTGTAATTAGGTTTTTTCTTTTGAAATTGTTTAATTAAAAAATGCTGAATGAAACTACACTGGCATATATTAAAAATATAAAATGTAGGGAATAAAGAATTTACTTGTTACGAAAATATTTGAAATTTATGCAAGTAAACTAGTATATAATATATTATAACACATGTATTGAAATTATTTTTATTTTGTCATAAAGATCTGTATAAAGTGTATGTACATCTGTAATGCAGTATATGTCTGCGGTATTCAATATAATGTGGCATGCGACATAAATAATAATATTTTGATTATGAATTAATATGAAATATAATTTAAATATGTATGGTATTTACTCGTAAGTAACAAATAAAGTTTGTAAATAAACATATTTGTAATATAAATCAAATAAATTGTCTGTTTGAATTAAAAAATTTCTTTTCAATTGTATTATTAATTTTCAAAATTAATGTACTGATGAATTATCAGTATGTATATATGATGATATCATCATCATCATATAGAGTTATTTTGAATTTTTGTCTATAGCATTATCTATTTAAATATTTTATAAAATAAGAATAAAGGACAAAAATTTATATTAAAACATATTTGCTAATACTTGCTATATTTGCGTTCATAAAGTGTAAAACAACAAATGATTCGTAATAATTAAATAAGAGCTATAAACAGATTTATAAGTGAAAATGAACTTTCAGCAAATAAAAACAAGCTTCCATATTTAAAATTTTATCTTATTAAGTATGACAATAAAATAAAATATTATTTAATTTTTAAGTGCTTATATCTGCAATACAATATACTAACCATAATTTAAGCAATAAAGTGAATAAAAAAGTGATATTGTCGGTACTAAAACGATCGTGAATGGATTATGTAAATACATGATAATTGTGATATTGTGTTACACAAGCCACGTTTTGGGGTTTACATCTCCCTTACTACTTTGAACTAGATAATGTGTGTTTTCAAAGACACCATTAAACGAGTTTCTGTATATGCCCTTAATCAGAATTATTAAATGATCTCGTTGTGAAGATATTTGGAGCGAAGTATACGAATAGGATTTCATTTTCTTTAACTTTACATGAAGAATATGGATCTTTAGCAAAGGTCTCTACACCTTGCTAATGAACAGAAACACTAATAATTAACAATGATAATAAAACTTTATTCAACTTTTCTTAAGAGTAAAATCAGAAACGTTTTCCTCAATTCAATTAAAAAACTAAAAATATTTGAAATTGAATTTTACTTTTCAATTTCAGTAAACCCATAGCCTACTGGCGTCGCCACAGATCCATTTGAAATATTTACCCAGATTTATGATGTTCCGAAAACTGTCCAATCAAAAAAAAAACGGAAAAACAAATACCCAATATATAAGTTATAAATCACTTTTTAATTCATTAAATACCCACTAATTTGGCTGAATATTTTGAATTTTAAAAATTATGGTACTTTAAAGTTTAAAGTTGATTTTTGGAAAATTTTTTTATAATTTTTGCGGAAAACAAAACTTTTTGCAGTTGTCTTCAACACAGTGTTTTCTTAGAGCATTAATCATTATTCTGCAGTTCCTCATGCGAAGGATAGATAGGTAGAGAGAGAGAGAGGGATAGAGTCAGAGATAAGGAAAGAGTCAGAGATAGGGAGAGAGATATAAAGAGCAAAAATTTTAAGACTTTATACGCTTCAAGTCACATTGGTCACTTCAAAGGAATCATTTTTTTTTGCCATCTGTTTTTTATTTTTTGAGTTGAATTAATTTAATTTAAGAATATTTAAATTGCGTGATATGTGGCTGTAATTCAAACCTTTTACCAATAGCTTTTTGACATAAGAGCAACGCAACGTTGGCTTTCTTGGCGCGCTCCAAAATATTTTCTTTCCAAATAAATTTTCTATCGAAAACAATATATAAAAATTTTGCTTTCTTAGTATATTGTATCGCAGAACCTAGAGTATAGGGTGAAAAAATATTGAGAACCTTATGTTTCCACTAAAGACCACGATATCAATTTTGCTGGGGTTAAACCCACGGCCAAATTTCAGCGTCCGCTTATTTAGGATATTAAGGCCATTTAGCAGAATATCCCATATGGTGGTAGCATATTTTATGGTAACAATTAACACAACATCATCCGCATATGCAATAGCCTCGTAACCCGCTCTCCTCAGTTTTTGTAGCAGTGCAGTTTTACTAATATGTGGTCAGAGCGTATTTTAATGAGTGTTCGTACTACATAAGATTGACAACGAGAAGACTAAAGCCCTGTTTATAACTCGTAAATACAGGCGGCATCCACCGAGCGTGAGAGTTGCTGACATCGCGATTAATTGGGAGGACAGCATTTAATACCTAGGAATCACGTTTGAAGAGCGGTTCATTTGGCACAAGCACATACAAGTCAAAAGAAGTAGTTCCGCAAACAACCTTAACGCGAAGAACAGAAAGCTAATCTACAGTCAGATAATTAGACTAGCACTACTTTATGTTTCGCGTATAGCAAAGCTGCAGACTCTACTATCCCATAATATACATAAGGGACACAGCCCTGAAGCTATATGCGAAAACCGACAGGCTGTCCTACTTAGCACTATCTAATCTCAGTGTAATCACTTCCGCACGGAGCAGTATGCAGATCTTAGATTAGTTATTGAATAATCATGAAGATTATGAGGAATACACAAATTAGTCAGTAAGATTAATCAGTTTATTAATCAGTAAGGACTCTGCAGAAACCCCCTAGCTATTAAAAAGTAAAAGTGTCCAGATGCACTAATTCGGAAAAGAGTCAACATTATTATTTATTAAGATTAATTTATTTATTATATAACTAAGTAAATTAATGTTGTGACTTTTTGGTTGAAGTTAAGCATACTTTACTGTACTTTAAGCGATTCATGTATATTTATTGAAAACAATTTGATATATTAAATTTTAACGCACATATTAAAATCCTTATTTTCTAGAAATAATGACTTTTTATCTATTCTTGATTAATACATACATAGATACATTTACACTTCGTTGAAAAGATGCTGTATTAAATGAACTTAAGAGATTAGTCGTGTATCCATAAAAAAGAGATTTCATTTGTTTACATTTATTTTAATGAAATCAAATGATAAAAAATGTTCGTATATGATATAAAAAATATAATCTACAATTCTCAATGCAATCAAATTACGATCCATGAGCATGTAAATTTGTTCTACGTTCTCAACTGCTGTTATCTCGTGTTTGTTCGCATTTTCTGAGCAGTTATATGAAACAATTGCTTATCAGGTTTGCACGTGAGAACGGGTGATACTGTGCAGAATCGCTAATAGTTCCAGATACACGACGATCTCAGCTGGCACTTTAGTCTTAGAATTCCTACCAGTAAGACGTTTGCCGGTTGCATTGGCATTGCACTAGAAAAAGAAAAATTAATTTGATTATTGAAATATAAATTTTTTTAAACGATTTAAGTGAAATGATAAATATAAATATAGTGATTTGTGCTTGTCTAAGAAGTATTAGAAAAACTTGAATTGAACAAAAAAGAGAAAAATATGTTTAATGCATTGTAATAGACCAAAACTTTCAAAGTTCCTAGAAGAAATTTTATATATATGTATATATAATTACTCTGTGATATTGTTAACGTAATAATCAAATTAATATAATTGTTCATAAATAAGTTTTATATAGTAAAAATAAAAACAAAAAATGGCTGCAGGTAAATAATGTATAAAAGGCTTAACTCAAATTGTTGTAATAATTATCATTATCATCATCGTCATCATCAGCATTATCATTTGACTCTACAGTCATAGTAAGCTTTTGTAATAAATTGAAGTTGTTCATTTATATTTTTGGGTGGCCTAATAATTTTTATGTTATATATTGGATATTGGATAGATAAGGATATAGATAAGGAAATAATTGCAATAATTGACGTTTAAGTTTTAATTGTGAACTTGAAAATGCTTTAATAAGTGTTAAGTAAGACGTAATTTAAATCGCGATTCGATTAAATTTGTATTTTATACAATTTTTTGTACAATTTAAATTAATTTGCTGTTTTAGTTTATATTAAATCTGTTCCACAAAAAAAAAATCTTACCAGAATCAATAGATGTTTAATATAGGTCGAAATGTTAAAATAGTATAATTCACGTAACACACCTATAATTTAAATTAGTGTAAAGCAAGTTTTTTCCCATTATAATTCATTGCAAGGAACGCAATTTCGTATGACCTATCTTTATTATTGAAGGTTTTATTAAATTAAAAATAAATAAAGGGCATTAAAAAATTCAATAATAATAAAACTAATTTTTTGTGAAGAAAAGAGTCAGCAAAGTATATATTATTTCCTTTATTTTGTTCCAATTCCATTAAAAGTAATTCATATATTGTTTGATAGCATTTAATTTATTTTAAAAATAAATTAACTTTAAGAATAAGCTTTATTTCGAACAAAAAAATTTTTTTTATTAAACTATATTGTTACATTACCAAAAAAATATTTTTGTCAGTAAAACTCAATATACACACTTTCAAAAATATAATTTTATTAATATAAAACGTTTTATATTTTTAAGATTTTTATATGATTTGATTATTTAGAATATATAAAGCCTATGTTGTTAATTCTTTTTTATAAATGTATATGAAATATGTGTGAATAATATTCTTCTATAATCTGCCAGCATATGTACCATATCTATCAACCATTGCAACATAACTTATTATTAACCCAGGCATTTAAATTGCAGAATTTTAATAATAAACAAATTTTGCTTATATTGTTACAGTACTAAATAAAAAACATTTATGTTAATAAAATTCAAAATATGTATATATTTTTAAAAATATTCCTAAGGGTTTTGTATGCTTAAGAACTACAAAGAGACTTATTTCTTCATAGGATAGAACTGAGGTTGTTAGCAGGTTCTCTAACAGGACAATTTAACCTACGCTATTGCCTCAAAGAGTTCGAACTGTCTGAGGGATGTAGTCTCTCTCTGTATTTAACCTACGAAATACATTCTGTTATTTATCTAGAATCAATTGTTTTGCACTCTATTCTCTATATTTATGATATTTTATTTGATATATATTTTACTTTGCTTCAAGAAGAAAGTCAAGGTTATTAGTTAATTACTTTTTTATACTTATATTGAAATAATTATATAATAAAATAATAAACTTAAAAATTTTGCATTAATAAAAGCACTTGAGTCCAAATTTTAATCACTGAATAAGTTATAAAAAGTTTTATGAAACCTAAGATATGCACTATATTATAACAACAGTTATCATAATTTCATATTTGATATAAATAATAACCCCCAGCCAGTATCTATATTAAATATTTTATTATACTTTATAATTTTTTTGAATTGAGCAAAATTGTTCAAAATTGCATTATTTAAAAAATTTCTTGATTAAATCACAAATTGTGAAAATTTAAAATATTACTGATTATTTGCTCAAACTTATTAATTTCAATTATGTAAATATTATATACCCAATAATGAAAAAAATCTTTTGAAACTAAAAGTGAAATTGAAATCAAATCCATTGGCGTGTAATAATTTGGTCTAGTGGGGCTGACAATGGGTTCAATTCTGAAAATGTCATCGTACACTTGCTTTCATAACAGGTTTCATATATTTTAGATAATTTTTGAGAATAAATTAATCAATCAGAGACAAGGTGAAAAGGTTGAAAGGTTATTAAACCTAATTCTTTATTCGTTTATTTTTTTCTACCCATGTCTTTTATACGTAACCAGATCTTAAGAAAACATTAATCCTCCAAACTAATCCTCCAATAGTAATTTAGTGTATTTAATACTAATAAAATGATAATGTTATCTTTTTTATATAACATAGTTGGTATATTGAAAATGATACTTACTAAAAAGACATCTGTATATTAAGATACTCGTAACTTTCTTCTCGACAAGAACTTATAGATTTTTTTATTTTTAATTTGTATACAGAAAATTATATTTTTTGTGAATAAGGTTAAAAAAATCGTCAAAAAAAACTAGCTTTAAACCATCATTTCTTTTGAATCCATTTAGGGAAAAAATTTAACACATATCACATTAAAATATTTTCCATAAACTAACTTGATATGCAACTATGTACTTGATAAAACCGTTTTTGAGATGTTAGGATGAAATATCCTTTTTAAATATGGGACTTTTCACTACCCCATATCTCAGTGATATTTAAGTTATTTGAAAGATTCGTTAACACCATATATCTCGGTTATTATTGAAATATATCTCGGTATTTGGGCCAAGGAATCATTTTGAGGTTACTTCAGTTTGATCCAAAATATTCTACATATGTATATAGATATAATTATATAGAGTTATCAATTTTGTGGTCTTGATTCTGTAGCACTACTTAATTCATGTTGTGTCTTTTTCGAGTTAGTGCATCTGGACACTTTCACTCTTTGATAGCTGGGGGGATTTATGCAGAGTCCCACTGACTAATTTAAATATTCCTTAAAAGCTTCGTGATTATTCGATTACTGATCTAAGATCTGCATACCGCCCCGTGCATCTAGTGATTATTCTGAGATTAAATAGTGCTAAGTAGGGCAGCTTGTCGGTTTTCGCGAATAGTTTTAGGGCTCTGTCCCTTATGTATTTTTTGACGGGATCTATTCTAAGGTCTCTTAGCATGTTATTTGTGCGGATGTACGATGGCACTTTGAAGAGTCTTCGGAGAACCTGACTTTGAACAACAAGCAGCTTCTGGATATTAGAGTTGGCACTACCTATTGATACATACCAGGACGGTATATTATTTTAACAGGACACAAGCTATAATACACTTCATGTGGTGTGTAGTTTCAGTTTTGGGTGATGTGATTATATGATTTCTTGTTACTGAACTTCCTCTTTGTGGGTTTATACAAGGGATTGTATTGATGTGTACAATTCTCAAATTCTCAATGATTTAAAAAAGAATAATTGTCAAAATTTGGCTGTTATATTGTCAGCTGTATATCGATCGACAAGTTAGGAAAAATTAACTGTAAAGGATCTAGAACTGTGAGTTATCTCATGTAAAATATAACAAATATATATTGTATTTCACATCTAATAATAGCAATATCCAAATCGATAACGAAATCTCGAATGTATCTAAGTGCGCTTTGTTTATATTCACTTTCGAAACCGCAAAATAAATAATCCCATAATTATATTAATCGGTATAAGCGTGTCATATTATACTGCCGTTTTTTAATTAGTTGAAATGAATATATGATTTCCGTATATATAGAGGAAATTTTTTATTACTTTAATGAAACAATTATATTATTGGCATTTATTACATTATTAAGTTTTAATATCGATTGTCCTAAGTTTATTTGCTGTCTCTAAGAAAAATGTATAGTATTTCACTTTTTTCTTTTTGTATATTATTAAATTTAAAAATGTGTTTATGTACATTATATATATATATAAATATATGTGTATATTTTATATGAATTTCAGTATTATTAACTAAACACATTTATAAATGTAAATAAAAGGAATTTTTTAGATAATTTAAATATTTAGTTCACTACGATATAAAGTAATTATCATTCGTTAGATCCACTATCTTTTCAAATAAAAAAACAAAAATATATATAATAAGACTGATGAATAATTTCTTAAAGCTTTTTATTATTCAAAGTATTATATGAAATAATACAATATACACATATATGAAAATATTCTTAATTCATTAATAAGTTGTGGTTCAGCAAATGTTTGTATTGTTAGTAAAAATGACTAAACTAATTCACGATAATAGTCTACTTATAATAAGGTTCGTTTAGGAAAGACCTAAAGTTGAATTAAAAATATAAATAATAATATGTAAATTATATTTAAATGAATTAAATAGAACACAAGCTTATTGCGTTACTACTAAATAATTATTAAACAAACATTCTAATTTCTTGTTGTATATATAATATGCAGTTAATCGTTGGGATAAGGCGTTGACTTTATACTGATATCATTGTAGTTGGTTTACAAGTATATGTGTATATATTATTTTGCAATTAATAAAAAGGTAAAATAATAATTAACCTCTCGGCACATTATTTATAGAAAAATTATTTAAATATTTGTAAATAGTGCAGAAAGATATGGGTAACATAAAACGTTCATTAACATTTGTTGAACAAAAAGTTCTTAATCAATAACGTAATTAGTTCTGAGTTATGAGATTTATTGAAAAGTTGTACAATAAGTTGCATTATTAAAAAGAGAAAATATTTACCTAATTACAATATGGCATATACTATATATACAAAAAAATTTGTTTTAAAGTTAAAATATTAAAAAGATATGTATTGTGATTATTACAAACAGTAATCAATAGTATATATATGAATATCAAATGAAATAAATTATTTTAGGCTTCAAGATCAACGAACTACTTTGATTTAGCATTGAGCTTAATCATGGTTTATATTACGCAGAGCACAATTGATTATCCAATAGTATAACTCAAATGTCAAATGTCAAGGTGGCCTGAACACCCACCTTGTCTGTGCGGCATTTTTCAAATTGTAAAAATAAGCTAAGCAAATGAGTCTTGTGGTAAATGAGGACAAAACAAAGTACTTTCTGTCAACAAACAAATCTCCTGGTGACCAACGATTTGGAGGCGTTCGGTACTACCAACTGGCGACAGAACGCTACTAATCGGGCTGACTGGCGGAGGCTACTCGACGCGGCCAAGAACGACTCACGTCTGTAACGGCCAACTAACGAACGAACGAATGAATTTATTTTTTTATCTACAATCCCTTTTATATTTTAAAAATAAAATGTATCCATTTTATAAAGAATTGGATTTAGTACTGTGCTTAAATTATTTATTAAAAAATAATTTTAAGGTAATAGTATTGAAATGGTAAATGTGCTAGGTTAATTTGCTCCTTCAAAAACAATTTTAATCAATGAGCGATTGGTTTTAAAAGATGCGTTCAAGCGTTGAAGACAATTTACACCAACACCAAAATTCGTCCAAAACTTAATGGAACATTGTAAATTGACCAAAAAAGATGTAGTAGAATTTTCTGGCATTTGTTATGTATAGTGAAAAATTTTATGTCATTTTTTGGACTTCAAAAAGCCATAAAAATTCTGTAAACCAGATTTCTTGGTTCCAAAACGAATTTGAGTTCAGAAGCCAGATAAGAAAAAGTTAGCAACAGTTTATTGAGATACAAAAGAAATATCATTAGTAGATTATCTTTAAATAAGTAAAACATTAAAATTGGATTATTATTGCAAACTTCTTAACTAATTGAATGCAAAATTTCTTTAATATAAATACTATATGCAGTATCACTTATCCGCCTCAACTTTCAGAGTTTTTAATATTAATATTTCAGTTTTTTTATTATTAAAAATAAAAAATAATATAAAATAAAAATTAAATTAACATGTATAATAGTTAAAATTAAATTAAATTAATTTAATGAATTTGTCTGTAATGTATTTATTCTTATTATATCATGAAAATCAAGTAGAGTCCAATAAGTCGATTGACCGGTCTAGCTTTAAACTATGGTTAACTATCGTCTATGGTGTATTTCAGTAAAGAAGGACAATGACGCAATAATTAAAAACATTTAAAACCGGTTTGAGCTATTTTTAATGATGTAATTCGTTGCTGTTCAGTAGCATATTTTAATAAAATGGACTATAACACTTGCGGTCACTTTTTTCTTATCATAAGACCGTCTTTTTCATTTCTTGGTGATTATAATTATTAATTTCATCACAGATTAAATGAAATATATTTAAAAAAAATATAGCTTATTGTATCGTAAATATATATGTATATAAAGGTTATCACCCTCGTAAATCAACTTATTGCATATATTACTATAAATAATTAAGCTTCGTTTACAATAATTCTCATTCATTAGATTAGCTTTAAAATTGATATACCTCTTTGGGTTTAAAATAAAATAAAATTAGAAATAAACATCGTTAAATTAGAGTATTAATTCTAATTTATTAAATTAATATTTGATTTCTTAATTGAGTATAAATTAATAATCAGTCAAATGTCGTACGCATATTTCCTTAAAAATTGTAAACTTATCTCACAACATTCTTTTAATAAACATTCCTTTTTTATATCCATATAAATAATTATAATTATTACAATATATTGCAGTTAAATTTATTATAATTTATATCTATCATCATAAACATTTACTACATAACCCGAGTCGACTTTTAGTTAGCTGATATGCATATGAATAAATAATAAAATTTATATTAAATATAATATTAGAAAAAATATTCATATATTTTATATACAGCAAAATATCACAATTATTTCGAAATTTTTTTTACAATGTCCTTAAAATTTAATAAAATTTCAAATTATTTATTGATAAATATTAATTTGTTTTTATTACAAATATTCCCATATTCCCATGAATATATATAAAAAATTAAAAATAAATATTTTTAGATTGTGTCTTCAATATGAATACGATGTTGAGAATCCATATTTATATTTATAAATTTTAAAGATAATATCTTTAAATAGAAAATATCAAAATATTTGCATATTAAATAAATCACATTTGTAGGTATATGACCGCTACAATAATACACAGCTATATTAAAAGATTTCTCAAATATTTTTTTTGTACAGAGAATAAATTTTTCTGTACAAAATTTATTCTCGTTATCTTATAATCCATACTCCTATTAGGTGCTTATCTTAACTCGTTAAACAATTTATCACTTCTGTTTAGAGTATTTGACTGGATCCGGTATTTCAACCAGTACTATAAGGCCTCCATGTGGAAGAATATGTTTTTATATATATATTTACAAATGCACCAGACTTTTGTAAATATAAAACACTTACAGATCGTCAACACTAAATCGTAGGTCTCACAATGTGAATAAGGAATGTACACATTATTATAATTTAATCTACCATAAGCTTCTATTAAGAGTTTAAGATTTCTATATGAACTTACACAATGTAAAGTGGGGATGTGTACATTATTATTATTTAATCCAAGTTCCTGTTATGAGCTAAAGGTTTATTAATCGATTTATCAGTTATTTTTGCTGAGTGCAGTTGATGTTTACATGTTTAATGATTTACTTCTTTCATTTTAATTCCTTCATCTCCGAAATATCTGTTTTGATCTGTTGAGTACTCCAAGTATTTTAGTACTCTGAGTATTCTATATCATTTTTGCAACTGGTTTAGTACACTAAACATTCTATATCAAAGCTGCCAAAAATGTACCGGACAGTTATTATTGATAATCCTCTGCTAATTACATTTTAAAAGTTATTTTAAGCTTTGTTAGTTTCTTTAAAGTTAATAACATTGCACTTGGTTGATTAGTCTATTTTAATAGTACATCAAGATTTTTAAATTGCATTCAATTAAAATCTTGACGAGTTCCGCACAAACATTAGCCGCCTTTGGCCTGCAGGCCGTGCTTTGGACAGCCCTGTTCTCGATAAATGCTCAATAAAGAATATAACTGTGATGTATTTAAGAATTTGCTTGAAAAAATTCATTAAAAAAGAATGAAATTGTTGAACATTTCTTAAAACTAACACCACGACTTCTTCAATAGAAGATATTGATTGCGTTGTAATGATAGAAAATACATGATGTTACATGTATGTATATCAAATATAGCTGATTTTAAAGGTTACAAATAAATATTGATAACCTAGTTAAAGTTTTTTGTCTTATTGAACAATTTCCGGTATTTGTTCAATTGAATGTGTCACAGTGAAGATGTTTTTACTGTGTTACAAATATCGTGATAAGCTGAATATACTGTTTAATTAATTATAAATATATGCATATATATATATATATATATATATACAATACAAAAATTAGCATACATTAAGTTCATAACTAGTTTTATTTTAACCTAGTTATTAATTGTGTTTATATTTAATTAATGGATCTGTTTGCATATTTGAAACGCTTAATACAAAATAATAACTACATATTAGAAAAAAACTCTAGAAAAAGTTGTAAACAACACATTTAAAGAGAACATATTATATTTAAGAACATATTACGTTTGAGAACATATTACATTTTTTTAATAAATTCTTGTACTAGATCACGTTTATTAATTTAATAAAGAATTATTATATTACTCTAAATTGACAACATATCATTAAAAAAATAAATTTAATTGTTTACTAACATTGATTTATATTTTCACCCGTTTATAGTGGAAGCTCGAACTGTGCTCTGGTATCTGGTCTTTATCGGATTCGCCGTTAACTATATGATTCGCATTAATCTAAATATAACAATTGTCGAAATGATTGCAACCAAAGGTAAACCACCTCATTCTCAACACAACATGGAAGAAACAACTGAATCGAGGGTGATGATCGAGGGTAATGTCAATGACAATACTTCCGGTTTCACGACACTAAGGCACCATAATATCAGCACTCATGAACATTTCAATTTGCATAATGAAAAATATTCACTAGAGAAGAATTTTTTAAATTGGTCAAAGGTAAATAGCACTTACGTCACAATATTTTACATATTTACATAAACTTGAACTTGTTGGATCATTCACAGTACCGCTAAAATAACTTACTTTCATTTTTCTCAATTAGTTTTAGTAGAATTGCTAATAAGATTTGCAACTAAGACGCATACCACCACTCCTCCATTACGCTTCATTATATTTCCTATGCTGTCACATAGACGTGTGCTGTTAGCTAATGTAATTATATTGCATAGGATTATGTAGAACTCGTATAGTATGTAGAGCAACGTACTATAGAGCAACTTAAACTATTTTAATTGCAAGTCATTTAATCTATTTAAAATCAGGTGCGTCGTAATTGCGGAATCTTACCAACTGTAATATTTTACATAGCTAATGACTGATATTAAAATTTCATTCTTTTTATATTACATATTACAATATTTTTATACTGAACGAAGAAGTGACTTCTTTGTTTAAATGCAGTCATTGTAAAAAATTCATTAAGTCATTACTTCAGACAATCTGGGCATACGAGTATGTGGGTTTAAAATTGCCAATAGAAATGTGTGACAGAAAAGATTATTGGCTTCTTAATCGGACAATACTGAAGTGAAATATGTAAATTTAAATAAAATTTATAGATTTCTGCAAGTGCAGTGATAAGAAAACAATGACATTTTCAAAAAAGATAAGAAAGTATTTTTACATTCTTTTCTGTATGAACATATTTATTGATCATATTTATTTATATAAATGATAATGACGATATATAAAAAATTTATAACATTATTTAATAAGTAATAATAATAATGATTTTAAAAATAGTTGATTATTTTTGATATTATTATTTATTATTATTATTTATTTAATGAATAAAGGGTGAAACTTGACGCTACGAAGTATATTTATGTCTTATTTAAACAGTATTACATACATCACGCAAAGATTTTTTAACCTTCTTAAATAATAACAGTTCTCTCCTAAATAAGTTAATAAATAGTTACTCACTTGGAGTAATAAATAAACAAAGAAATTCTTTGTTAACATCAATTCAGACATTATAGATATATAAATTATATTCTAAAATTCTGTGTAAATATTCTAAAGAAGTGTATGCAGTTACTATCAAACTGAACTTAAGTAAGTAAACTTTTACTAACTTATTTGGCCATAACAACCCGTTACTGAGTTTCGACCTGACGCAGCATGTCTCCCTAAGCGCCACTGCTAATCTTATACTCTACTTTGTGGGGAAAGGGTATATATAATCTGTTTCGCGGTTTAAAAAATTGACATTTCGATAAAAGCAGATCAGATTTGTGTATATAGTAGAAGAAGTGACTATTGTGTGAAGAATTTTAAAATTATAGTTTTTATGGATTAATTCGTGATAAATAAATATTTAGTAAGTGACTACATCGTTACCTAAATTGAGTTGCAAAAGTTCTTGTTACATTAGGTAATCGTTTTGTGAGATGATAAGCGAAAGTCTGTTGAGATCTCAGTTGATATAAATGTATGAGTTCGAAGAGTATACTACATTAGTATGCAAGAGTGAAAGTCTGTGTGAGTCGACATTAGAAATAATCTCATGATAATAGTTATCAATATGTTTATGATATGAAACAATGCACGGAAAATGTAACGATATTATATATGGCTTTGAAAGTCAAAAAAAATACAGAGTTTTTACATTATATATATATATTTTGTTTTATTTTTTGCAATATTATTTGGATTTCTTAAAAAAATGCTCAAGTTCAGTATAAATTTATAAATTTAAATTTAACCTATCTGCATTTATAAGTAGTTTTTGATATTAACATAAAAATTCTTAACGTTAATAAAAAAAATTAATTATATCTAAAACTGCTTTTATTACCACCTCCTATCGAGCCACAGCCATATGCATTTGTACATGTATACCAGTTAGATTTAATCATTCGGGACCCTTTTCTGAAAGGGTCCGAATATTTCAGAAAAAGAAACACTTAATCATTTAGAATAATCTTTCATGAAAAAAATAAAAAATAAAATAAACATTAAAAAAGAATTAGTATGCATATCTTTTTATATATTGTACAATCCGACAACATAGTGTCATTGCCAAGGCGCAATGTTGTTTAAAATTTGTTCATTAATTTATCATTATTAATACGTACTATAGTTAAATATAAAGCATTATAACTATATTATTCAAATTATATTATATTTTTTTAAGATTGAATATGAACCTAATGGTTTTGAATGGAATGAGTATCAGCAAGGATTGGTGTTGGGATCGTTTTTCTGGGCTCATTGGCTTACCCAAATACCCGGCGGTATCTTAGCTAAAACATATGGAACAAAATTGGTATTTGGTTTATCAAATGCTATTGGTTGTTGGATGTGTTTCTTAATACCTATAGCTTCATATTGGAACTACAAAGTCTTAATTTGGCTGAGAGTAATACAGGGCTTAATAACAGTAAATTAAAAATTGCTGGAAATTAAGAAATATTTCAAAGATATGTTTATTTTTTTAGGGTCTTTCTTGGCCAGCAATGCACGTGCTAACAGCTCAGTGGATACCGCCAAACGAACGAAGTAAATTTGTAACAGCCTATTTGGGTAGTTCTGTTGGTATTGCACTATTTTATCCAATGTTCGGTTATGTGATGCATTGGAGCTCATGGGAATGGGTGTATCACATTTGTGGTATAATCGGCACAGTTTGGTGGTTTGGTTGGTTGTACTTTGTGTACGATACACCTCATCAGCATCCACGCATAAGTCAATCTGAAGTACGCTATATTGAAAAATCACTTGGTGCTTCTATACAAAATGCAAATCACGGACCAACACCATGGCGAGAAATACTTACTTCATGTCCAGTTTGGATGAATGTAATTGCACAGTGGGGTGGTATTTGGGGATTATTCACATTAATGACACAAGCACCCACATACTTCCGAGTTGTACATAATTGGAATATAAGAGCGGTAAGTTTTGATTGATTTGGATATTATATATAAATAATTTATATTTTTTTTAGACTGGCATATTATCAGGATTGCCACATTTGATGCGTATGCTTTTTGCATTATTTTTTTCAATGTTTGCTGATTTTTTGCTACGTACAGATAAAATGAGTCGTACTAATTTACGCAAACTGGCAACTTTTATTTGTAAGTTAATTATAAATACTTATTAATAATAATTATTATTTAACAATTTCGTATTAGGTTGCGTATTAAAAGGCTTAATAGTATTAGCATTGGCATACTATGGACATAATTCAACAGCGGCAATAATATTCCTTACTATTGCTACAATGGTGCATGGAGCAGTATCTTCAGGACCTTTGGCTTCCATTGTTGATATAGCTCCCAATTATGCCGGCATTGTTTTAGGTATTAGTGGTATGATTGGAGTATTACCAGGTTTTATTTCACCATACATTGTTGGAGTTCTAACTCTAGGCAATGTAAGTATTATTTATTTGTAGTTTAAATCTGAATTTGTATTGATATGAATATTTGCAGCAATCTTTCGAATCTTGGAAAAATGTATTCATAATATGTGCGGTTATGTTAATTGGAAGTGGAGTTCTGTACATGTTATTTGCTGAGTCTACTTTACAGAAATGGAATTCTAATTCATCCCAAGATATCAATCAAAAGGAAATGCAGCTGTTGGAAGGAGTAACATTTAATGTACAAGAGTCTGAACATAAAAAATTAAGATCTGATGATCATGAAGAAATCGACCAGGAGATAGATGAACGAAGATAGATTTCTTTTTATGTGATTAAATTAGTATAAGTAGTATTTTAAGTGTGAAAATAATATTGTTTCTAGGTTTCAGATAAATATTTTTATGTGTTAAATCAGATGTTTTGATAATTATAAGAATTTCTTATCTCAAACTTGTGTTAAACGCATGATACTAAGGTTTTTATTATAAAAAGATAACTGTATTGTATTTAATTAAGTAAATTCAGTGATAAGTATTTAAGATAAACAAATAATTTTTTATTTTTCTAAATAAATTAAGAAGAGAGTCCGTCTTATTTATATGCAAATGTTTCCTCAAAGATTATAAAATGTATATAACTTTATTTTTGCATTTTCTTAAAAGTTTATTAAAGTTGAAAGAGAATAATAAAAGTAAATGAAATAATCTTTTATTTTTATAGTGGAATTAATATTTGTAAAAGATAATAGCAAAGTTGTGGATTAAAAATCTGAGTTATCTTTTCAATTTTATTGAAATGAAAGTATAAACAAAGCCATGGGTATATCACGTGTAAAAAATATTTTTTTAAATGTTAATACACAGACGCAAGAACAACATTTAATTTCTTGACTTTTAAGATTTATGTTAAATTAAATTAAATAATATAAAAAATATAAACATTATCTAGGTTTTAAAATAACTAGTACTAAAAATAATTAGATAGACAATTATCTTAATAATTGGATTAATTATATTATTGTTAGATATTGTTAATTAGACATTATTTACCATTAATTAAAACATAAAAACGTTTAGATTTAAATATTCACTCAGCTTTAAAATTAATACGAATATAACTTTTTTATGCAAAATTTTTATTATTGACATTTTTAATTAAATAAAATGCTATAATAGAAACTATCACTGGAAGACAATAGAATGTTCATCACTGCACTTTTTCTGTAATATGGTATATAAGAAAGAGAAAATCGATGAACAATGTAATGAACATTTAGAAATTATAAATATTCGGTTAGCAACAAAAAGCTGCGTTAATAAGGTATAAGGCAAAATATAAGATATATGAAATTAATGTAATAATATATTTATGTTATATAATGTATAATAGTATTTATTATGTGTTTATAATAAAAATGAATATCGAATAGGTCAGTTATATGGGCTTAAGAACTTTATTTGAAAAATCAAATAATTAACTATACGTTATATGTAATAATTTAGTAGCGGGCTAATTGGTCATTTAAATAGAAATAAAAAAATTATAATTTATTAATTATTTTTAAAAACAAATTATATTTTATTAAAATATTTTTCAGATTTTTCAACTATCTTCGATAGTCATCATCAGGGAAACATACATACGTTATATGCATACTTTTTCATTTTGTATTCATTTTTGCTTTACAATTAATTTTTTTTTTTTTGAAATTTTTGATATTTTTTTATACATACTTATCTATATAGAAATGTAAAAATATAAAAAATTGAATTTCATTTTTGCAGAAAATAAAATTATTTAATCAGTGAAATAATTCATTGGTGTGTAATAATTTGTTTTTCTCAAATATAATATTCGCAATTTATTTCTTTATAAAAATGACAAAAATAAAAAGAAATTTATAGATTAAAACTGAATTCGTGAAAGAAATTAACCCCAATGAATGCTGGATGCTCCTCTCATCTTTGATTTTGTGAAGCTTGATGTTGTCTGTAGTCAAAGAAGCAAACGTATATTATAGAACAAATTGTAGAGAAGAAATGACGAAGGGTCAAAGTTGACAGCAGCTATTTTCATTGCTAACTGCGAATCACTCTGCCTCTTTATATGACTCCCAAGAGTGCAATTTAAAACAGGGTCCAATACAAAAAAAATTTCTATATAAGAAATGTCAAGAAAAAAAACTTGGAAAGGTAACTAATAATTGGAGAAAATGTGGATTGGAATGTGAAAATGACCTATTATATCTGTTTAATGTAAGACTGTAACCGTAACATTATTTTTTTTAAATTTAAACACTTGTCTCTTGATGAAACACATAAAGATATCAACTTTTTTATTTTTAAAAAAATCTTGGCCAATAAAATTCTTTTCACGTTTTCTTTGTTTTAATGTGAAAATAATTTTCGCACATGGTTTCAGAAATCCTGCCTAATTTTTTTTCCATTCTGCCTGCCTGACTGCCTGCCTCCTTCAGCAAATTAAAAAAGTTTTTTTTTTTTTGTGTAGTTGGTATCTGAAAAGTTTTACTGAACATTAATCATTTCAATAACAAAGGTGGACAGTGGATGATTTTGATACAAATTTTGGTCAACTGTTTTTTTGGCTTTTTATTCTTTTTTCTATTTTTTGCGTAAATTTTTTATATTACTAAGAAAACGTGTTGAAATTACGGATTTTTTAGAAATTTTTATTTATGTGTATGTCTATGTCTATTCGAGTCCTCTAACATCAACCTATGTATATTTTTATTTATATATATAACAGAAATGATGAAATATTTCATTAAATGTGAATATCCTTTGAGATTTAACAAAATAAATACATTTTTCTTCGTCTTACCAGACACTTGTGGTAAGGTATTTAGAATTGACAGTTGGCTTGGGACATATCGGGAACGTAAACAGGGGCGAAGTGTTAAAAAATATTCCACACTGGACTTCGTGTGCTGTGAAGAATATATTATTATTTAAATTAAATAAGAAATATTCAATTTACAAGTTGCTTTAATTTTCGGTAGAAAATATAAAATTTAAATTTTAAACAATTTTACTAAAAAAATAATTTTCTTATTTACTGACACTACAACTAAATTAAAATCTTGATCCTCCTTTGAATATTTATCCAGTCGTCTCGCATACTCACAACTGGTTCTCAGCCATTAGTGCCAAGTAGTCTCAAATCAGTTTTTACCCCATTAAGACAGCCATAGTGGGGATACCTCATTAATTTCTTTGCATTCCAATATTTAAAGAATAATTAATGAATTATTATTGAGAGTATGCATTGTTCTACATAGCCAGCATCGTGGTCAAATGAATGTCGAAGGCTTCATTTAGGATTTCAAGTTTGTGTCATAATTAAATCAGACAGACAGTCGTTCTTCGATTCTCATTGGATCAATAATTTTCCAGATTCACTCGGCTTTAAGGTTTAGGCTTTGCATCCATATGGCAACCAGATAATTGCCACATTTGTGTGTATTTTCAATTTTGTAAACGGAAGTGTTGATTAAAAGTGTGTTGTCAATGGTCAACTAACTGATTTATGTAGTAGGATAAACGATTGGCCAATTCTAGGTATATAGTACTTCTTAACTGACAGCGTTTTGTGTTAGTTGATCCGAAGCCCTTTTTCTCGCACTAATAATAGATTTTATATATTAAATCAAACACATATTTTTTTTTTAAATAATTATATGTTTCGTCTCTATTTGCAATTATTTTAAATTTTCTTCAAAAAGTATTCAAATTAGGATAGTTTCTAACTTTTTAGTATTATTTATTATTATTTTGTACAGTATAGATACCAGATTGCATCTTCCTTTTGCATTACAAGTTTTAAAGTTAACAATCATTTACAAATATCATATTTTCTCCTATATTTTTAAACAGAGGTTGTTAACAATGACTGGT